TTGAACTGTTATTCACCGTTTATTTGTTCGTCATCGATTTAAGTGTAGATGGAATCGAGACCCGAAAAACCAAGGCCAAGTCGTTCACAAAAGGATATCGGGCACAGAAGACAAGGAGGAATTTTAAAGTTTTCGCTGTTGATTGATTCCTTGTGGGATGCGACAGGCATTCTACTTCCATTCAGATACGGCTTTTCGAATGCGATGTGACCTTCGAGATTTGAGTCTCGATAAGCTGGCCTTTCACCAGCACATCACCTCTGCCTCATGCAGAAGCAGCGTTGCAGTGATTTAAAGGCAGTTGGCACGATAATTTGGTACTCGGCCTAAAATGCTAGCAGGGCGCTATATAGTGGGGAAAATGGCGAAAAACGAAGTGAAACGGTCAAAAACCTGCGAAGAAAAGCCTTCGTTCTTAATGACTCAAAACAATTTCGGACGAGTTTCCCGTAGGCATCTTGCCAATAACCGCTACGGTAGATACGGCTGCACGTATGTACTCATATATCCATGCAGCACCGCAGCCGCTTCATATCAATCCCTTCGCTTCATATTTTACTTCGCAAATGAAGCAATACGAGCATCAGGTACGGTCGTCCATTTGTGGGCGGGCGGGCGTGGTGGGCGTTCGGGTCGGTATGTTGTAGCTTGATAGGGCCCTTATAAGGGTACCTTCCTTGGGAAGGCGCTACGCAGCGCCTGCTCAGGGTCGCGGAATTCCGTCCTGCCAGGCGTATTAATCCTACTCGTCTTAGGGATTTATCGTGCCAACTGCCTTTAAAGACAGTCCCCCGCGCCCAAGCAATTCGTAGGCCTCCTTCCTTGTAGGGGTGGTCTAGCCCTCGGTCTCTAGGACTGCCACACTTCCGCGACTCCCTCCGACGAAACTGATATTAATTCACCGTCCCCGGAGGGTAGAAGGCTTGGTTCACCTGGGTAGGAGCCGATTCGGGGTTTGAACCCCGCACCCCATTTACGCTCGTTCCATGTGTGGTGGGCATGGAACGAGCGTAAACTAAAAAGCCTTGATCGTGGAGAGCTTTAGCGTTAACCTATGATTTTATCATGAAAGGTAAACTGAGAATGTTTCCACAAGTGCTGGCAGAAGCTAAGTGCTTGTGTCTTCTATCGCTTCCGTCCCCCCCCCCCTCCCCCCGCTTAACCGCTCTTCAACATGATCTTATGTAACTACACTGGATACCTACCGTGTATTTGAGCGTATCCATGTAATCTTCGAGCGCGAAATAGCCAAACATATCACAAATGAGATACTTTCAAGCACAACGAACGTAACTTCCATTTACTTCAGCCAGTAAAGCGAATGGACTCGGAGCAAGGAATATCGCGTTATCGGAGAGATGATTACCATGAAACGACCCTTTTTGATGATTCACTTTTTGACGATCCTCCCCATAGAGATCATTAAAAAACCAAAAACTCGTCGAAAACACGCTCGGAAGAAGACAACGCCGAAGGTTTGAGAGCTATAGCAGAGATCGCCTTTGCAGCTATGATTGAGCCAATTTTAAGCCACGACCAACTGCAGCACCTCCTTCAGCAAGAATACCAATAGACTGGCGCAGGGATGAGCTCAGGAAGCCCAGACACACCCCCAAACCCAGTGATCTGTGGAGCATTCCATTCAGCTACACATTCGGAACATTGAAAAGTACTGAAGGACAGGTGAGCTTGAACGTGGGCAACCATACAAAGCAGTGTTTTAGATGTGTGGGAAATCCACGCGTTTAGATCTCTGAGCCAGATATCATTACAGCCACAACTTTCAGGTGGTGAGAGAATTCTGGTTGAAAAACAGAAGCGTTTCGTTCGTAGATGTCGAGCTGTCGTCGTCCAGCCAGCCGCTTTTAGCCAACTCGCGGTGGAAATATCCCTATCGGGTCAACTACGATATTACGAACTGGAAGATGATCGCTAGATTGGTAACGCATAATTACACATTATGAGGCTACTGACTCTTCTTGTAGTGAACTTTCAAGACTACTCATTTCAGCTTCATCAGAATCACAGGGAAATCCCGGAGAGATCTCGCGTACAGATCCTGGTTGATGCCGAAACGTTTCTCTCTCATTCTGATACGCCACAGTTATTCGTCTATATGCTTGGGTAAGAGTCATCACTAATACCGTATTACAAATATGCATTCGCTAAATGACTCTTCGGAAATGAGGGCGGAATAAAAGAAAAGCAAAAGTGTCATTGAGAACATTCTAAATAGGGACCTGGCAGCCTCCTCGGACGAGTTTCCTGTACCTGCTTGTTGTATGCCAGCAGAGCGAGATCGTGCCCCTCTCAGCTTACTACTCGTTTCTTCGCGTCATTTAAAGGAACGGTGTCCGCGATGACCTATGAAAATGCTAGAGGTTGTGTGGGAAGGTAGTGCAGTCCGGAGTGGACAACCCTGTGCCAGTTTCGCGGCGGAAAGTTGTACGGCAAAGAAATAAGGCGCAAAGTTGTTTCAGTGGTACATCCCTTTTCCAGTGACTCCGCCTCCAGACTCCGCCTCCAAAGTCGGCTTTCCAGCCGAAAGTAATGCTCCCGGGCAAGTATCGTGGAGTGGATGCATTCACTGTCTCTTGTAGAGTCATAGGGTTTATTTCAGGAAATCAGCAGACGAGAATTGTCCCAGCACCGCGATCTTTTCGGTCTTTTACCTCTACAGTTGTTTGAGGTAGAGGAGGCCTGGCGAATGCGTTTCCAACGTTCCTTTTTATCATTTTCTCTTCATAGCTGGTTTACTTGCCAACTTTTCTTTCACATTTCTGCAACATCATCAAGGCTTGTTATTGCGGGCCGAGCTTCAAAGCTAATACCACCTATCAGTGGAAGACAACGAAAAACACTGTGTAAGAACGAACCCTAGACAGAAAATAGCTTGATATCAGGGACGAGGATGGTGGGCGGGACAACTGGATAGGCGTCAAAATTGCCACTTATGAGGCCTGCAGCTCTTCTTGCTTTACTGTAAAGCCACGGAAAAGGCATAATTCTCCAAGCAGGAATAAGCTGCTTCCACAAAGGAACGACTCTTTAGATTTGTTTGAGCGTGACGACTCCCTTTAAGAGCTGTTCACGGGTCCCTGACACAATACTGTTCCGTTACTCCCCATACTACAAAGATTATGAACACCATTTGCAACCCACTGAAACCAAATGGAGTAAACCTTTCGCCGATTTTTATGGGGTTATCTTTTTATTTGGAAACCTCGGCACCTGGAATATAGTAGATTTCGTTTCTCCTTAGATAGCAAGACGATTTCAAATTGTAAATTTTTTTGTCGACAGAATTCTCATAGTCCAGTCTCCCAACTCTGTAACATTACCTGTGATACTGGCTGCATAGAGACCGTTCTCCAAAATGTTTCAGATATCTGGTAGAAGAGCAAGATCTGGGAGTGTCCCTGATAGGGATGAATGCTATCTATCGCCTTTTCGACTCATTCCGCGGCATCGATCTTCCGGAACTTCAGTTGTATTTGGCTCCAGTGATTGCACAACTCGACAAACTTCTTGATGAGAGCCAAACGGACACTGAACAGGCCGCTCTGTGGCTTATTGACCCCACGAGGTGATGTTCTGAAAACCTGTAACTTCTGTACTTTTAAAACTAATGATTCCGCGTCTTAGATTAGTCCAACTTTACAGCTGAAGGGTGATATCACCAACCGACCTTACATCGTCACCAAACTCAGGTATGAAACACTGTTTGAGATTTCAACGTTACGTTTTTTTCCGTTAGACGGTGGAACCTCCAGATCGAATTCAGCAGTTACCATGATTTTAATCGATCTGATCAAACCTTTCTTAGGAAGACATATTATGCGAAAGAGATCAGTGTTCTCTTTATGTGTCTACCATCTTTTTGGCAGACTTTTCAACGGAATAGTGAGCGTCGTTAGTTCAGTTGGTAGAGCGCTCGACTTTTGACCCAGCGGTCAGAGTTCGAGTCCATCACGCGACGTGACCTTTTGCTCCTCTGTAAAGCGTGCCATAACAAAAACTGCACAATCATACGTAGTGTAATCTGGTTGTGGTTGTTTTGAGAAATCTTACAGCACTGAGCCACTTGCTGGCGGAGCCTCGTTAGCTCAGTTGGTAGAGCGTTAGACTTTTAATCTAACGGTCAGGGGTTCGAGTCCCCTACGGGGCTTGATGTTTTGCTCAAGTGCATGGAAGTAAGAAACTTACAGGAAAGCAGGCGGAAATGCAATAGTAGCTTATTATATCTTATTTTATTTATAATTATCATTTTTATTTATTATTATTTTATATATTGTTATTTTATTTTATTGTTATTCATTTATTTTTAGTATATGTACTTATTTTTTATTATTATTTTTATTAGCTCTATATTTTATCTAGTGCCTCCGTTTCAACCAAAAGCAATTAATGAGTTTTGTGCGTTCACTTTGCCTGTTTGAACCAATACAGGGGAACGACTCTTGCGAAGGGAGCTTCATTGTGTAACTAGTGTAACTTCAATGCTGGATAGTGGTACAGCAATGGCGTCCACACCCATTCTGCCACTTAAAAACACGTTCCGCGATCAAGTGATCAGCGAAATACCTCCGTGCATCGTTGTCCGCCCACTCCGGAGAATATTCCCATTCTTAGTACTCACAATGCGAGATCAACGAAGCTAGATCGCTTATTTCTGCCAGCCGCTTTGTGCAGATCACGTACTGTAGCTCTGCAAGACAACGGCTGACAAGTGGAACTGCGTGTGTAGATAGCGTTGCCTGGAGCGCCGTAGGCGATTTCCTATCCTCGTGCTGGGAATAGGTTGCACCTAGAATCCTGCTGGTTGGGCTTGTCCTCCTGATGAACTGGTCCAAGGCGCCGGTCCCACTGCTAGGGTGGTGACTGCAGCACTGTTACATGTTCCATTTGATCGCAGGAATTGTCTTTTAAAACATGGCCGACGTCACTACTTAAATCGTTCAGGAAGGTTTCTTGTTTCCTAGTTTGTGGTTTCGCACGTTGTGAAGATGAGGAGTTCAGAATTAGTTGTCTCCGTCCGGGAATATGGCCAACCTAACTTATTTGCCAGACTTAATACCATCGCCTTCTATCCCTCCCTAATGCTTCATCTAGAGGCTGAAAAGTTCTATAATCGTCTTGACTCGAGAACGAGATCTACCTCTTCTTCTCATCGTTGCACGTGCATTTCTGGTAAAGCAGGATGGGGAAGCTGCCTAACGGAAGAGGATAGTGCACCATATATGGTGATTGCCGTAGTAATTGAAGGCTTTGTTCCAACAAATATCCAGCCTAAAATTTTGTTTAGGGTTACTGTGGACTTGTGTGGGACTTCCTGCTTAGCCCGAAAAAAAGATAGATCCAGTCGTTCTATGAATAAGCTAGCCAATTATTCTAATTATCGCTTTATTACTGTCAGTCGCCTAGAATAAGAAATTTTGATATCAGGCTCGACGGTGGATGGCATCGCCGAATTCGTTACACGATGACGTTCACAAGCAAGTGACAGCAGTATGCCACTTTCTCTTCACCCACAATGCCATGCGTGAGGTGAGGACCACTCAACGCCCAAATCCATTTTTTGACTGTACTCTCTTAATGAAAAAGATGTATAGTTGAAAATAACAGGAATCACTGGCTGAGGTTGCATTGAAGAAGTAAAGGGACTCATTGGTCGACTGCTGTTCAACTGGCAGGCTGTTCTCATGGCGATCGTGTTGTGAAATTGGCTGCTAAGCAAATTGTCGCCACTAAAAACGCAGCAATCTTCGCCTCCGCACTGCAGGTTCGTCGACTTTTTAATGTCCTTAGTGGAAGTAGTAACGAAAATGTTCAACCTTTAGGCTCATGCTCTGAAATTATTGGGCAGAAAAAGCTCAAGGAAGTTGCGCTCCCTGTTGGAGATCCTCCCGTGCTTCGCCAAAAAAAGTTTGGGGCTCGGCGCTCTTCGGCAACAAGGAGGGAGGAGGGGGCATTTGCACTTCGCAGTTTGTAGGTCTCACTCTGGTGAAACCTGTGAACTCTTGTCCAACTTGACCAAGCTCGTCCAGTCACCATGATAAAACCTGTCAACTCTCGTAAGGCTCTCTCGATGGTTAGACATGTGGATGGGAAGTGACAAAAGTGCAAAATGCTCCCCCTTCGCCGAACTGCGCCTTGGACTCGCGGGGGAGGGGAGTCAGGGTAAGCTGCAATGGTTGTGCCAAACCATGGAGGGTCGTAGCTTTGCGTGGGGAAGCGGGGTCATAATTGTAAAGACAATATTTATTTGATAGTGGTTATTTTCTGTGGAAAAGGGGTGGGTCGTATTAATGTTGTTATATGCGCATCTATATTCATTCCCCCCCCCCCGCCTCGACACGTCTTTCGACCGCTTTATACTCTCGCGCGGCCGTCGCGAGGAAGTCGTGAAGGGCGGTGGAGGTGGGGGGGGGAGGGGTCGTGCCTGGACCCCTCGAGGGGGGAGGGGTCGTACTCGCACAGACATTTCGCACATTCCCATGCTGCACCCTGAGCGGAGTACAGGAAGGGGGAAGTAGTTTCAAATTTTGCTTTTGCTTTTGCTGCTTCGGTTTACAAATCTCACTCTGGTGGAACCTTTGAACGCTTGTTTCACAGTGACCACACATGTAGCACAAATTTCAGTCGGACTTCTCTCTTCACTACAACGCCAAGTTTCGGGAAGCACTCTGGACGCAAATTGGTAAAATGACAGTTCAAGAAAGGAGTTTGCTATTCTCCGCGGATGAAGTCGAACCTCGGCCTGCCTCCAAGATATTGCTTCACTCGATTAGAACTCTGGAAGAGCTCAGTCAGGTATCAGGCAACTTCTTTCCTAATTTTTGAATTTTTGTCATCAGAGAAAGGCAGCATATTTTGCACTCTTTGCCACTATTCCTACCTCATTTCGCTTTTCATAGCTCCCATTTAGTCTTGCCTACGGGACATTACCGTAACAAAAGATCAGAAGCCACAACCTAGCAATTTCAGGTACGATCGCTGGTGGAGAACTGGGGTCAGAAAATGTCCAAGCATTTGGAATACATCGAACGGCATTTGCGATGGAAACTTCATGTTTCACGTACTTCTTTACGAGAGTTCTTTTCTAATCACGCCACAATCTAGCTTGCCATAATTATTGCCCCGTAAAAGCCGACAAGCCTATGGCGGAGAAAAACCGTCTGCAAATCATATGAATTTCATACTCTTTCCCTGAATTATTTTCTCAGACATGTTCCTCAACAATTTCACACAACTTTCACTTCGATCGAAGGGCAAGGACAGATTCCACGGCAAAATTAGATCACACTATTTTTGAAGTGCAGCCAACAGACCGTTTCACTTTATTTTGTTCTCAAAATGATCACACCTCCGTTAAGAAGGTGATATGCCGACCAAATAATTATGAGGGTATTTTTGTTCGACAAACGGGTTTCGTCGCCTGAACAGGATCCTTTGAATCGACCATTCTCACTTTTGAAATTCAGGCCCTAGTCTATAGCTACTTTCTTGATAGTCGCGAGTCTACATGAAGTACCTTACAAGAGCACATCTGTAGGGAAAGCCTCTCTAACTACTGCTAGATTATCGGGATTCAATCCGTAAATAAAAAGAACAGCCAGCTGCTCCGAAGCAGTAAGCTACTGTAACTCAATCTCCACCCGATAACTAGAAGCAGCTCTTGACCGGTACGGATTCTTAGCCACTTTTATCTTGATCATTTCAATTGTAAATGTCATCTGATGTCAATTTTTGATGAAAAATTCCTTGGTATTGTGACCCCCCCCTTCTTCCCTTTTTTTACTTGTGGGTTCTGAAAAGCTTTATTTCACTAATATCATTGTAATAAAATAGTCTGTGATCCATTTGTATTATGTAATCGAATAGACGACTAGCAAATGATTCCTTTGAATGTACCCTTTAT